TTTGAGATGAAAAATTAGTGTTTTAATTTTTTGTATGCAATTTTTTTTTTTCTAATTTACCATTTTAATTGATAAAATCATCCAGGTATAATAGTAAGGTAACAATTTATCATGATTTTTTAGCATAATTATTGACAATAAAATAATCATAAATAATAAATTTCAAGTCCAATTCCAAACACTTAAGTGATGTTTGATGCTGTCATTGACAAATAGAAAGAAAAGAAGTTCTCAACAATCCCAATTCAAATTTCAATTAATTTAACTTATCAAAAGTTCTATAATTCTAGAAAAATAACATAAGTTGTTGCAGTATAAATACTTTATGGTTGAGTTTCAAAAGTTCTACAAAAGGTACAAGAACAATCTCGTAGTTTTGTGCAATTGGTTATTGGAAAAGATCAACTTCAAGAATAAAGCCGATGCAGATAATTATAGACGGACTGAATTATTTTACGAAATGAAAACTAAAGGACGAGTTTTATTTAATAGGAAGTGTCTGATATAAAACAACAATTAGCTTTTTCTCTATTTGTATTTGTATTTTTTATTTTTATGGTTTGTTTAGCATGAAAATTTATTTAGGAATATTCTAGAGTGATTCGTTGCCTAAACAATATCAATTTTCCTAAATTACAAAAAACATGTGTTTTATTTGTTTTAGTAGCTCTCCTAAGGCTAGGGATTTAGGTTCGTTTTGAAAACTTTTATGAATTTAGGGATGTTCATAACTAATAAAAATTCAGGCTGAATTGTAATTCTTTAATACCACAACATTGTTACACATATGAAGTACTCTTGATTAAGGCCTTAGTTCAATAAAACCCGAAACCGCAAATTACATCTAGGTCCCTTAAACTATACCGCTCATTCCACATTGATCGCTATAAACTTATTTATTTTCTCGTATTGGTCTAGATATGTTGTGAAAAATTGGACAAAAATAGCAGGTGTGAAACTCAAGCCATTAGTTTAAAGTGTAATATAAGAAAACTGGCAGTTTCAGAATCAATAATAAATGAGGGACATAGTTCAAAGAGTCTAAGTGTAAATTTAATTTCCAACCCAAAATAAATTGTCATGCAATTTACTGATGAAATATATTTGGCAGTGCAATAAATTGAAATACATTGCATTAATTGTGTGTGTGTGTTTTGNTGAATAAAAGATAAATTTTATAATTCCACATAATTTACTTTCATTGATAGAGTGATCTAGAGAGAAAGAGAGAGAGTAACTAAAAAGCAATCCGGTTTAGACGAGTCCTGAATAGTTTATTAGTTATGNTGTTTTGACGTCATTTGGACCAAGATCTACAATGCATGATTCAAATGTAAGTTACCTAAGCCCATTGATCAAACCTGAATTTTATACAATTTGAAGATTAGAATTTAGAACTCATAACGTGCAGATTTACGATATGGCCGATTCGAACCAATACATATCCAACTTATATCAATTCATTGTATGTATTTATGTCTCTCTCTGACATTTCATATCTGCAAATTAAATGGGCGTGAAGTGATGCAAACAAACGTACCAGGGCAATTCACATGCACGTGGCTTCCATCTTTATTTAAGATAGAGTTTGTCAGGGCGTCCATTTCCCTGGCAGTCGAATTGTTTCTTAATGAATGAACAGAATGTTGCATTGTACAGAGGGTATGTTTCATCATAAACCCAACTTCCATGGAAAAAATCACAGCCCTCACTTGATTCTGATCCACCCAAGTCAATAAAATGCTTCAGTAATGTGGCCCTGGTGGACTGGAATATGCATGAAATGAACAAAAAAACATAAGCAAAAAGGTGTAGACTGCACACCTATTTCCCATTTTGTGTGTGTGAGAGAGAGAGAGAGTGAGTTTGATGAGGTTTGATGAGACAGTGAGGATTTGATGGAGAGAGAAAGAAGAGAGAAGTATATAAGAGTTTGGAAAATGTTAAAGAGTTTTGGAAGGTTGTTAGTTAGGTGTACCTGTATGTTGATTGGCTTAAACACCAAGACATTTAGACATTAATTATTCCCTTCTTTTCGCTACTGGTGTTGTTAGGATTCATTGTTGCCAGTGACGTAAACCCCATTTTCCTCGTCATTTCTCACTCATAAGTACTCAAGTCGCCAACTCATCCTTCAAAGGAAAACCTCTAACTTGTGTTGACCGATGAGAGATCAATTTCTAGACTTTTGTGGCCTTGTAGCATTGAGTGATTATATATGAATTTAAAAATTAGATTTGATAATTTTAATTATTAAATAAATAATAAATTCGAATAAATACTAAGATTCATAGTAAAATTAATAATTTTAATTATCAAATTTAATTTTAAAATTTATTTTTTAAATTCAAATAACATTAGTCGAGAGCCTTTATAGCTTTGGCCATACGATAAATCTTGGCATTGAATTTGAACAAGTTGGTGGCTTAAAGTTGGGGCGTGCGCTGCGCGTGAATGACAAATTCATGCGCCGTTTGAATCATATTCGCACAAATATGATTATTTGTTCATTTTCTCTCCGACTTGTCTATAAAAGGAGATGCCTTCAAACATCCGAAAATTACTTTTTAGTGTTATCAGAGTTTGAGGTCTTCAAGGAGAGTTAAGTGATATTTTGGTATTAATCTGAGTGTTATTAAATCTGTGAGAGATATTAGTGGGATATTAGAGTAATCATTTTTTATTAGAATGAGTACTTGTGAAATTTAAAATAACTGTATTATATTTGTTTACTCTATAGTGAAAACATTCACTCTTTGTTATCATAAACATAAGTAATAGTCGAACCACGTAAATTGTTGTCTTATGTGATTGTTCTTTTATTTTTTCACTTGAGTGAGTGTCAATATCGATTCCAATTCAATTTGTGGAAAATTTTGGCAACACTAGGGGTGTTCACCTTACCTTACAGGTAATAATTATAATATTTTATTTTCCTACCAGACATTTTGAGGAATAATTTTTCTGGACATACCTTACCCGATCAACTGTACTATTCCTACTCGAATTCTGTGTAAAACAATTGGGCAGAAAATGGGGTGAACGCAGATTTTTTAGTTATTAATTTTTTGATCATTTTAACAATTTAATTAAAAAACTTCCATCAATTAACTAACACAATAAATCAATAATACTAAAGAAAACACAATAAATTTGATAATACATAAACAATTACAATAAAACACAACAAGAAAGTTATGAACATCAATATAGCAAATACAAGAAAGCCATAAATATCATAAAACATTAGGGTTTCTAGATTTCTATATATGCGGGTAGGGTATGGTAGAAATACAAAAATTTTGTGGTATTTCACATTCCTACCTGATTTTTAGCGAAATTCCAAAAAATATTCCATTGATTTACCCGATTTTTTCGGGTAGTCAATCAATAGAGTCAGGTAGGATAGGATAGGGTTCAAATTTATAGGTAATCAAAAATTTGAACACCCCTACGCAACACAATCTAGACTAGTTCAAAGTTTAAATTCATCAACTTAAAAATAGTTACATTTGAATATTGCCCATATTTGAATTTTTAAACTCGCATTACACAAATCCGATTAAAATTTTGGTTCGATTCAAGTTTGGTCGTTGGTTTACACAACTTAAATTGAGGTTCGAGAGCTGATGATGCACAAATTGAGTTTGTACAACACTTGTCAATTGAACAGTAAAAATGCAGTAGTTGATAAGTGAGAGATGGAGACAAAAGCAAGATAAAGTTTATAGTGGTTCAGTTTACATGACCTATGTCTACTTTGAATTGCTAGGATCGCTGGGTATCTTCTTAACTCAAGTGTGTAGGGAGAGCAGAGAGTTACAAGCTATAAGAGGGAGAGGGGAGATATGCTCGATTGAGTGTGATGCCCCCCAAGTGTTGGCGGGGCTTACAATTTATAATCGTCTCATAACGGATTGGGGGGCGACTTAATAGTGATTAAATAGCTAATCTGGCAGTCATAACAGATTGGAGCTGTTTAATAGTAATTAAATAGCTAATCCAGTGGAGGTGCCGACCTCTTCTCAACGGGTGAGGCGGTTATGGTGCTCTCCATAAAATTTAGTCAAAGATGAGGTGAGGGTTGACTATTTCCAAGGCAGCGAGGATAATGTCTTGGATGACATTGCATGCTCTTTACTGATGTAACTCCTTGAGCTTGATGAGCTTGACCGGGTTGACCACATTGGACTGGACTTGGTGGATCTCTCAGAGTTGGGGCATTAATTGAGACCAAGCTTATAACATGAGTTGGACCCTTGGGCCTGGCCTATCATTTGCCCCCCAATGCCCTGCGTCTAATGGAACTTGGAAATAAGGACATTCAGTTTGAGGTTGAATTTTTGGCTGACCGACATAATTAGAAAAACTTCAGGAGGCCAAAACATGTGCTTCTAGGCCTTTTTTGAAAAAACTTAGTGTTAATTACTTGTGCTTCTAGGCCAAAATTTGTGTATCATATAGCACAAATTTTTTGTTTTTCTGAAAAAAATTCTGGAGGCCAAAATAGCTTTTTTTGAGCCTTTTTTGGACTTTTTTACAATGTCTTTCATTGCCATAGGCAATAATTTTTGTAGGGCTCGCTGAGAGCTTCGATTTGATATATAATAAGACCCGTTTGGAGTTTCAAAACAAAAGTTACAGTAATAATAGCATCCAGTCCTTTTTAAATCCGAATTTTTTGAAAACTCCTCTTGATCTGTGACCCCTTCCCTTCCAATATACTCCTTTCGATTGTGGGACTCCATTAACTGTATAATTTTCCTCATTCCCTTCCTTTTCGTGAAGAGCCCTAATTATAAATTGGGGCTTTTTTTTTTCTTTTTTGGTTTTTCCTTCCTTTAATAGGATTTTATAAACCCTAGGTATAAATAGGAAGCTTCTTCCCCATTCCATTATTTCCATAGAAATTTGAGAGAGTAAAGGAAAATGCTCTTCTTGAAACGCTTGAGAACCCAAGGTTTGAGATCTTCTTCTTTGTGATGAGTTTTCAAAAATCAATGTCGAACAAAGGAGGAGAAACTACCGATACCCATGGCGATGAACTAATCCACGTGTCAAGCTATCAAGAGGTTGGTATGGTGGAGAACCGAGCAAGTGAGGCAACCCAGGCGACCCAAGAGTTGGGTGCCAATGTTGAGGTGCCTAGGCTGGGCGCCAATAGTGGAGCTTTAGGCGGTGCAGACAATCAAGGCAACCTGTTAGGCGAGCAGATTTGAGGAATTTTGGCGAGGAGGCCTACATAGAAGGGCGTGTAGAAGAAAGGGAGGTGGAGATGGGAACCCCGCTGGGCGCTACTATAATCTGTGCGTGCGGGGGGCTTCCTAACATCGTTCGCGCACTGCAAAGCACGAAAGAGGCTGTCCGAGGTGAGCTTAGGCGAACAGGGGCCAAGGAAGGCTTGGGCGTGCAACTTGCTTAAGCAGTGGGCGAGCAGCAAAGGAGGGTACAATGGGCGAGCTGACTTTACCCGTGGAAGAGATGCGCATAGGCGTGACTATGCGTGCAAAGGGGTCCATCGCTGTTGGGCGCACTGAGAGGGGCGCTTCAAAGGACTCGGACGAGCAGATCAGGGAGCCCGCGCATTGGACGAGCAAGCGCTGGGCACCGCTGCTGCCCAAGCATTGGGCGTCATTGCTGGTTGCGCAGTGGGTGAGCAGGCGCTGCTGCCGCTTGTGCACGGGCTGACCTTGTGGATGGTGCAAGCCTTCGAGCTGGGCGTACAAAGAAAGCAGCCCAAACACTAGGCAAGTTTGGTGGTGACAATCCGGTTCCTACACGTGCAGCTTCTTAAAATCAAACTCCTCAGGGCCTCTCTGGTGGTGGCTCAAGCAACTCTTCACACCCTCGCAATAAAAAATAGCAAGGCAAGGTTGCTCTGGATGATGATGGATCCAAAGTGAGTACTATTTCTAGCACTTTAAATACAGATGCTGGTATTTTGTGGATTGTCTTCGTCTACCACATTCCTCCAACTATGATGTGCCGTCGAGCTAAGATGGGTGAGACTGCTTGCGATAACTCCTCTATTAACCTTGCCATCTATGAGGAGATGCTAGAGGCTAGACTCAAGTTCCTTATGTCCTCTTTTATTTGCCATTTTTTGCATTACTTTTCACTCATACCGGGGTGGTTGTCGCTCAATGGTTGGAGGGTTATTTGAGCGAGACTCCTGCTCCTAATCGGGGCTGATACTACTTTACTACGAGAGACAAGTTGATTACTGAATTGCCCTCTAATTGTCATAGCTAGAAGTTTCGCTTTATATTTGTCGGAGGAGAGTGGGTTGTAGAGGCCAATAGGGCTTTGGTACCAACAGGATGGGGTACTTCTAAGAAACTTGGTACCCACTACACTTACTTTATCTCCTTTGCCTTTTTTTTTTTACTCATGCCTCTTGCAGATTCTCCTGTGTTTTTCAGGGACCAAGAATGGAAGTTGCAGGCCATAAGGACCCATCTTGAAATAGACTTTGGAGTTTTTATGTCCAAAAGCTGTGGTGGGGCTAGTCGACCCTCTCCAGGATCCTCTTTGAAAAGAAACAGTAAGTTTATTCTCTTGTACTTTCCCCCCTTACTTGGTATTTTTCATCTAGATAACCCTTTATTTCCCTGGCAGCAATAGATAGAAAGGTAATTGGGTCCTGCCTTTCTGCTAGGAGCCCTCCTCCTCCTAAGGTGGTGAGGATGGGTGATGCCTCCTAGGTGACCTCCCCAATGGTGCCGCCCGAGGTGTGCTCTCCTCAAGCAACCCCTCTAGTGGTACCCCGGGCACGCTCCCATCAAGTGATCCCTTTAGTGGTGCCTCCTCAGTCGGAGACTCCTTCAATTGCATCTCCTTCTCCAGAGTCCCTTTGTTGGCCACACTTTCTGCCCCCCGTTCATCTACTCCTCCTGTAGGAACTTCCAAAAGGGCACCAATTCAGATAAGCTCCATGTTGGGTAATGTGCCATTCATAAATGATCACCTTGGGAGGTTTATATTTTCCAACGATGTTAGCGAGATTAGTACTCTGGGCACCGAGGGAATCGTTAGCTCTTTTTTGGAAGGCTAGGCTCAGGTAAGGGTTTGTCGTCTCTCTTTCTCTAGTCCTTCCTTAAGCTTCTGACATTCTTTTGACTTTTATCCTCTTTCAGGCTTCTACTGCATCTATTTGTTTACTTTCAAGGGCCTAATATCACGGCCATCTGAAGCAGACTCATAAAGTGGTGCAAAAGGAGCTTTTTGCTGTTCATGGGAAGATTGCTGAGCTTGNTCTATTTGTTTACTTTTAAGGGCCTAATATCACGGCCATCTGAAGCAGACTCATAAAGTGGTGCAAAAGGAGCTTTTTGCTGTTCATGGGAAGATTGCTGAGCTTGAAGCTACTGGCAGGATTTCTGAGGCTAATCCTGTAGCAACCCGTGAAAGGGTGACTAAGCTTGAGATTAAGCTTTCGACGACCCATGAGAGGGCAGCCAAGCTCGAGACTGAGCTTGTGGAAGCCCGTGAGAGGGCAACTGAGCTTGAGTTTGAGCTTTTGGCGACCTATGAGAGGGACTTGGGGAGGCTGAGCTTGTGGAGGCCAATGAGAGGGCCACACTCAGAGAGGCTGAGCTTGCAGAGACCCGCGAGAGGGCCATGCTCAGAGAGGCTACCACAGAGGCAAAGGTGAAGGCTGCTCAGGGGAGAGTTTCTGGGGTTGAGGTGGACTTGGAGAATGGTCTTGCAGATGCTTTCATTGGCGGTTATGAGGAGCTCTGGGGAAATATTTATGCTTCTTTCCCTGATATTGACCTTTCAAGTTTCGTGCCAACTGAGGCGCCTGATGGTGATGAAGGCTCTGATGATGCTCTTAAGGTGTTCAACGTTCCATGGATGGGGTAAGATCTTTCCCTCGGAATTCTGGATCTTATAGGTGCTTGGTCTCACCACTTCTGTTATGAGGTAGGGTCTTTCACAATTTGATCCCAATTTTCTTTTGCGTGAATCCTTTGTGTCGAGGATCACTTTTTTGAGCACCAAGTCTCCTGGTTAGAAGGAACGAGGCTTCACCCTCGAGTTGTAATATTTTGCCATGCGGTGCTTGTACTCCTCGTTATAGACCAAAACCATATCTCTTACCTCCTCTAACAGGTCGAGGTTGATGCAGAGTCCTTCCTCATTAGTGATGGGATCGTGGTGTTGGACCCTTAGAAAGTGCACCCCTATCTCTATAGGGATGACCGCCTTAGTTCCGAAGGCGAGGAAAAATGGGGTTTCACTAATTGGGGTTCTTAGCGTGGTTTGATAAGCCCATAACATGCCTGGGAGTTCGTCAACCCAAAGACCCTTTGCCCTTTCGAGCTTTGTCTTTAGGTTGCGTAAAACTGTCCTCACCATGACTTCTGTTTGTTTGTTTGCCTGTGGGTGTGCTGGGCTGGAATGAGGCTGCTTTATTTAAAGGTCGAAGCAGAAGGAGTTCAGGAGCTTGTTGTCGAACTGCTTGGCGTTGTCACTGACAATGGCTGGGGTATCCCGAAATGACAAACCAGGTCTTTTTAGATAAAATATTTCACCTTTGCGTCTGTTATCTTTTATCTTTCACCTTTGCATCTGTTATCTTTGCTAAGGATTTGGCCTCCGTCCATTTAGTGAAATAGTCCACCGCTACCACCACAAACTTGTACTGTCCTCTACTTAGAGGTAGGGGTCCTAGGATGTTGTTGCCCTATTTGGAGAAAGACCACGGACTTGTGATGACCGTGAGTTCCTCTGGTAATTTCCTAGGCACAGTGGCGAAGCAGTAACACTTGTCGCACTTATTGGCGAATTCCTGGGCGTCCCTCACCATGCTTGGCCAGAAGTAGCCTTGTTTGAGCACCTTGTGGGAAAGGGAGCGTCCTCCAGAGTGATTTGCATAAATCCCTTCATGGATCTCCCGCAAGGCATAGTTAGCTTCTTTAGGCGAAAGACACCGTAGTAATGGCAAAAAGTAGCCTTTCTAGTACAAGGTATCTTATAAGATAGTAAATTTGCAAGCTCTCATCCTGAGCTTCCTAGCCTCGAGGGGACCATCTAGAAATGCACCCTCCTTGAGGTATGCCCTTATCTAGGTCATCTAGTTTGTTTCAGTAGACGAATAGTTAACGTTTGTGGCTTCTACATCTAACTTGCTTGGTTCGAACTAATGACCAATTAATGCTGGTCCTGGAGGGGCTTCGGAAGATGAGGCTAGCCTGGCGAGTGCATCTGTAGCCATGTTTTCCTCCCTAGAGATGTGACAAATCTAAAAATATTGAAACTTCGTGATCAAGCCTTTCACTATATTGAGGTACTCCTGTATTTTGGCTCCTTTTGCTTTGAACTCTCCTCTTACTTTGTTAACTATCAACTGTGAATCACTGTAAGTGACGAGGTTAGGCTTCCATTTCAATTGCCAATGTTATGCTAGATGAGAATGCCTTGTACTCTGCCTCATTCTTGGAGGCGGTGAAGTGAAGCTTCACAGCATACTTGAGGGGAGTGCCGTCGGGGCTGAATAGGATTAGGCCTGCTACACCTCCTTTATTGGTCGAGGATCCATCCATGTAGAGCTTCCAGAGTGGGAGAAATGAGAGCTCGGAGGATGTTGTGGGAGCCTCGATGCCTGGATGGGGTGCTTGGGAGCCAAGCTGAGATGCTTGGACTCCAAGCTGGGCGCCAAGGGGTCCCTAGGCACCAAGCCAGCCTGGTCGCCAGGTTGGGGCGCCTGGGCTGGTCTATTCTCTTGATCTGGGCACCTAAAAATATGGCCTGGTGTCCTCACCGGGTGTCTAGGTGTCCTCATCGGGTGTCTGGGTGTCCTCGTCGGGTGTCTGACTACTTTGTGTGTCTGGGCTCGATGTCTAGAGTGTGGAGGGCTCATTGGTCTCCTACTTTGTTGGTGTAAGCTCAGCAATAAAATCTGTCAATGCTTGTTCTTTGATGGCTACCCTTGGCTGTTACTGGATATTGAACCCGCCGAGTTTCACTGCCCACTTTAGGAGTCTCCTAGATACATCCAATTTTCTCAAGACTCTTTTTAGAGGTTGGTCTATGATGACAACAATGCTGTGACTCTGAAAATAATGACGTAGACACATTGTTGTTTAGATCAAGGCAAGCACAAACTTTTCTAGCCCTGAATATCTGATTTCTGTCCCCTGGTATGCTATGTTCACATAGTAGATAGGCTTTTGCACTCCATCGTCGTTTCTAACAAGGATAAAGCTTACTACCGATGGGAAAGCAGAAAGGTATAGATATAGAGTTTCTCCTGGAACAGCATGTAAAAAGAGGAGAGGCGTAACCAAGTAGGCTTTGAGCCTTTAAAAGGTCTCCTCTACCTCAGGTCTCTATTCGAATGCTTTCCGGAGAATCTTGATGAAAGGCAACCATTTGTCTGCAGACTTGGAAACGAACATGTTAAGTGCTGCAATTCTCCCATTGAGGCGCTGGAGTTCCTTGGTTGAGGATGGTGACTTCATATCGAGGATGGCCTTGATCTTGTCGGGGTTCGCCTCAATTCCCCTCTAATTAACCAGAAAGCCTAAGAACTCTCCTGACCTTACGCCAAAGGCGCACTTCTCAGGGTTCAGCTTCATACAATAGGACCTCAAAACATTGAAAGTTTCTTAGAGGTGGTCGATGTGATCTGATGCGGCAAGGCTCTTCACTAACATGTCGTCCATGTAAGCCTCCATTGTTCA